AATTTGAGGTTTAAATACTGTGAATTGAAGGACTAGAGAACAGAGAGAGGGAGAGAGAAGATGAACTAGAATGTATGTATTTAAAGCATCTCTGAGAGTGGTTACAACTTTTTAGGTGTGACTTGTTTGGATTTCACATAATATTGAAAAACACAAGCCCAGTAAGACCTGCTATCCAACACTTGCTTAGCCTTAAATCACTGAAATTCATTTATCTATTTTCAGCTAAGCTACCTGACTGTACAGCAATTATTCAGATCAATATTGAAGATTTTTTTTTTGTATTTGCACTGTTTTGGGGTTTTGTTTGTTTGTTTGTTTGCTTATTGTTTCTCAGTCCTTACTAGCTAATTTTACTATTCTCATGATGTTCCAGAACCTGCACCTAAATAGCATAGTTGACATGCTTGGTCTTTCGTTTTCTGTGTAAGGCTTTTCCTCTAACAGAACCAGTTTCTACATAATTTACCTCCCCACGCATTTGTAGATGAGGCATCACTCACATCTGTGTGCACATGGGTTTTCTTAATGTATTTGTATTTCTTAGATACATAGAATTGTTTGGGTTGGAAGAGACCTTAAATAGCATCTAGTTCCAACCTGTCTGCACTAAAATTTCAGTGTTTAATTCAAGGCCCTACACAGGAACGATGGACCTGGTGAATAGTCATCTTAAGTAACCAGAGAGACAAATAAATCACTTCCCTGGCCTCCTTTTGGTCTGACAGTTTGGGTTTGCTTCGAAGCTATTTTGTCATCACTGATGATGTCCGTGTGTCCTCGCAGCAGTGAGCTGCACTGCTGACTGGTGCCTGGGCAGAAGGTGAGTGCAGGTCCTGGCAGACACAGCACACACTGATGCAGTCCCCAGAGGACAGCCCGTAAGGCTCTTTCTCTTGTCATTTCCTGGCCGTTCTTAGGAGAGATTTGTCTTTTTCCTTTGGGGTATGCAACACTTTTGTCTTAACCAGATGAGGTTTTTAAAGTATCCATGATAGTCCTCCAGGTTCATAAACTTTATTCAAGTTTTCCAATCATCAGCATGTAGTGGTTTTTGTAATCCAGAAGGTATTTCAAGAAAACACAACTGGTTAATTCCGATATAATTTTATGGATCAATTGCTTCACTCAGCAGATTATTTTGCATTCTGATGATAATCTCAAGGAGGAATATAAACATTCTTTATGCACATTTATAGGCCTCTGAATATTTTAGTGGCTTTGAGTTGAGGTAGAAGTGAAGAATTATTTCTCTCATTCACCAGATATTTTTGGTTCTATTTTTAGTATAAAAGGTCCCATGAAGGTTGAATCAAAAGTCAGAATAATTGCTGTTACAATTAATAAGCCTATATTCTATTCAGCAAAATAAGCAACAGCAAGCTCCTGTTTTTCATAAAGCATGTTTACAGACCTAAAAATGCCTTGCCAATGTATATAGACTGCTCTTAATCTAGAGAAAACATAGTCAAGCAGATTTTGTTAATACCATTTGAAAAAAATACTGAGTTAAATACAGTTTTGAGTCATCACATAGTGAGAGTTGATGTTTTGCAAATATTAAAGTAAGGAAATAAGCACTTCTAGAAAGTTTCTACCTGCAAACCACTCTCCTGTGCTTAAAAGACAGAGCAGACTAACTTGGAAAGTAAGAGCATAGCAGCATTTTACTTAGTATGCTGTTTACCACAATCTGCTTTGCCTGCTTTATGTTTTGAACTATAACCATTCAAGAATGGATGTAAAATCATGCAGTTCCTTTTAAACTTCTTAAGGGAAGGTTTTAAATACTTTGCAACACAGCATTCAAACTCAAACCATGAAAGCAAAGTCTTTTCATTGCTACCTAATGTAGAAAGAGTAGTTCTTGCCCTACTTTGCAGATCCTGGCAGCTCTGTTCTCTGTTATTAGATCTTGCCAAGCTTTCCATGTGGCTTTGGCTTGGATATTTGTAGCCAGGAGAAGTGCTGTAGTCTCAAGGGAAAATCTAGACTCCTTTTAATGGGCATCATGAAGAGCTGAACAAATGGGCCATTGTTGGTTGATAAAGTAATGGAAATGTTCAGCAGTCTGTTTTGACTAAATGGTGGCTCCCATCCAGAATGTCAAAAATGTTGAAATTATAGCTTGTCAGGGCAATAGTTATTTTCTGTTTTAAAACACATGTCTTCAAGCATTTTGATCTGCCTATACAGACCTTTACATCTGCCAGATGACTGACACTTGGTCTGTGAGGTGAGCAATGCTCTTCCAGTCTAGCTTCTCCTTCTGTGTGTGTATGGAGTTGAACACATTTATCGTTGATATAAAAAGCTCCTTCTTCTAATTAATAATTTGTCTTTATTACATTGTTTGCAGTAAAATTACACACACTGGTATATACAAAATGCAGTGTGGATATTTACACTAGATATGCTGAAGCTAATAGTAGACTGGCTGAAATGCCAGTATTTTTATTTTGGAAATTTCACCAAAAGTGAAAGTTTTTTTTGATCTTAGCAATGCTTGCCAAAGGTGATCACAGGAAAGTCAAAACAGAGTAGAATGAAATTCATTTTGTCATTTCTCCTCTGCTTTGGGAAGGTGATAGTATGTCAAAAAAGGGAAGATGCTGGTTTAGAGATGCTAATTCAACATGCCAAGCATTACAAACTAGATGGACTCATGGCTGAGCTTTTGACATATGAAGTCTGACATGCTGACATAAATTCAGTAACTAGAACTGAAGAGATTATCATCTAATTTATGAAAATAGATGTAGAGGAAATGTTGGTATCAAGCAGTCTGAATCTTGCTTTTTGCAGAAAAAAAAAAATACAGGGAAAAATTTTAAGTCCTTCAGTAATTTCAGAGTTGTTTTTTTTTACATTCAGCTACAGTAAATAGCTCCAGTACATAGAGCTTAATTTCTTTTTGGAGCCTTTGCATCAATGCAGCTGTTCAGAGAATATTATCTATAATAGGTGACATTTGGAATGTGCACAAAAAGCAGGATGCCAGGAGATAACAATAAAGACTAATAGTCTGGTTAGAGGGGAAAAGATTTCTTTGACAGTTCCCTGTATACTAAAAGATATAGGAGAATATTAGTAATGCATTTTACTGAAAACAGAAGCATGTGCTTTTCTTTTCTAGGCACAGTTCACTGTCAAACTGTGGAGGTATATCTTTGCCAAATATTATAGTGTGTTGGGGTGGATATTCAGAATGGAAACCAACATATTTTCTTTGGCTATTTGGGACTTTGTCCTTTTTAATATCATTCAGCATGGTGATCTATCTAATTTCAGTGTTACATAGTACAGCCTCTGTTTTTAAATAATACATTGTCTGAGGTAATGATCAACAAATTACCTTTTTCCTTTGCTGAGCATAAGTAGTGAATCAAGATATCAACAAGAAAGGTTTAGTGGAAATGATATTAAAGAACATTGGATTATCACATCACATGAAATACATCTAAAAATTACTAAGAAAATGCTTATTTCTAAATATGCAATTGTTACCATTTTCAGGCATGACCCCAATCTCCCTGAAATGCTTCCTCCTCGACTTTGCGGTTTTCACTCAGGTCCATATTCACAGTAGGATGAATGAAAAGGTGATATCCATGTCAGAACTAGGAACTGATCAGAAGATGATCAGACAGATCACCTTGTGTTCCAGGTGTTCTTAGCAGCTACGTGTCCCTTCATAGATTAGGCTGGTTTATAAGTAGTAAGAAATGTCGTCTCCAGCTCTCTTTTATGCTAGTCCTTAACTTCCTCAGTTTTCTGCTGAAATATTATTTAGTGTGCTTGGTTTGAGGGTTTTTTTTCTGAAAATGTTTAGTTAGTAAATACATGCTATTTACTCTCAAAAACCAGAGAAGTTTACTATGTACTCTGAGCCTTCTTTTTATTTTTTCATAATACTTAGAAGCCTGATACAGAGTATCTTATCTGATATTGCTGTGCTGAGCTTAAATACTGGGAAAGACTTTTCAAAAGCAAAGAAAAAATAGCTAATTTTAAATTAGAATATTCTGCTTTCTTACCTTTTCCCAAGACAAGGGATTCTGGCATAAAATGTAATTCAGTATCATGGATAGGTCAAGGATGCATGAAGACACAGTGTTAATGGCTCAGAAAAAGTCAGTTGGATCCTCTGAATTAGGTCCTACTGCTGACTTCGCTTCATCTTGTTAAATGACTTTTAGGAGATCATTAAATATGAATGGTGATGAAATTGGAGTTCTGTGTCACTAGATTAAGAATACCCCTAGGTGCTCATCCACACAGTCCCATGTCTGTGTTTTTCTCACTAAGTGAACTGCTGACGGGCTTACTGGAAGATCCTTGCAGAGGACAGAGTTTCCCTGCTAATGCACTTCAAGGCTGAAGGTATCTCAGGCCCTGCCAGCTTTGAACACTGATAGAATGTGTTGCTGCCTGCACAGTAGGACATGGATGATACCTGGCTTCCACTATTGACGTTTTGAATATACAGGGATTTAACTTACAGTTTTGGTACATACATTCTTACTTGTGGTAAATTGCTACCGTGATTTGCTTATCAAAATACAAGAGAATGTGACTTCAATTTTACTCCATTTGTTCCAAAGATGGAGCTAAACACCTTGCCTCTTAATGCCAACTCTATGCTGAGAAAATTCTCATCTTTCAAACATCGTAGCACTGGTGACAGTGCTTGCATAGGATTTGTGAATTAAAAATAATATTTTAGAAAGTGCTGGAATATCCTAATATGGAGGTATTATGCTTCTGGAAATCATGTTGTGTTCTCTAAGTGTGGATAGACCATATCAGGATGGAAGTAAGAAGTATTATCTAGTACGTATTGTGTAGGTACTTACAGCTCTGTACATTGAATGACTATGGCATGGTGAAAATACATTTAGTATGTGAATCAATCTGGTAAAACTGCCTCAGGAATACCTCTTTTTCTTACTGAAAGATATTGTAGTAGTTTCTTCAATACAGCTTATATAAATTTCAGATGTCTGTAGACTGAACTTGCAAAACTTCTTCTAAAAATTGTATATATTTGCCAAAAACTTCTGTAGTAACAAATATTCAGCATAGTGCTACTGAGAGAATTCAGGAGACAGAGCCTATTAAAATTAAAGCATAACCGAATGGTATGACTCCACAGAGAGCCACATAAATATATTCCTTAGTCATCTCCTGCCCTTCTCCTTTCATAACTTCTATAATATGTCATTTCTGGTTTAAGACAGATGTTTACAATTCTG